GGCAGACAGACAGACAGAAAGACCGACAGACAGGGAGAAAAGAGAGAGAAAAGCAAAGAGACCTACCTCCACCCTGCTGCGGACTGAGCTGTCGTGACAATGACGGAACACCCATCTCTGTGCTGAATCGTTTAAGCGACATACGGTTGTACTCCGGCTGCTCCGTCACAAACCCTATCTTGCTGTTGCTGTCTCTATGAGTTATCGGACCTGAATCAACAGTTACTGTTGGATGATTCACACTACACATCACATCATAGACAAGTGAACAATCAATCTTGTTTATGTTCTGCAGTGAGTTTGATCTGATGACGGGGGATTTACCCTTTCCCGGTGGCAGCTTGCCATTATTGTTGCTTATTCGATGACTGCTACTGTACCGAGTCAGCGCGGCTTCCGCTGAGCTGCGCCTTGCCAGGGTGTTCTCTGCCTGGCAGTCCGCTTTTTGATAGAGCATCGCGTTGCAGATCATCTCTGAATCGACCAACTCCGTGCTGGACTGTCTGTTTTTGTACTTGACCTTCTCGGTGTCTGGAGACGTTTCTTCCTGAGGTTTCTTCGTTGCCAGGGTGAAGTTCTGAAACAGGCTAGTGGAACTGCCAGAGGTTGAGAGCATCTTCGCCGTGCTGTTGCGATTACCGTTCGGGAATGACACAGGGTCATCTGCATGGAGAGAGAGAGAAACAAAATCAAGGTTGACGTGAGAGTGTGCGTGGCACGGAGCTGGAGGCCGAGTTTTACGCATCCGTAGGAACGCTACCGCCCTCAAAGATCCTTGATCCCTGCCCGAAAGAGAAGCATTCGCATTCGGCCACATTTATTGCCGTCACGATGTCATCATTGCCATCATTGGTTTGGTTGGTTTGGTTTTTATGATTTCAGTTCGTTGCCTCAACAATACAAAGTACAAATATCAAGAGGGACGAACGAAAAGAGAAAGTAAAACAGAGCAGAGAGGAAAATGCAACTGAAAGGAAAGAAAAACGGAGAGAAACGGAGAAGGAATGTGGACTGGGCGGATTCATGAACCATTACTAGAGCAGGGATGAACAGAAGGGGCAAGTCCGTCGATATTCATGTTTAAAAAAATTTCAAGCCTTACTTTATTAACTGGTTTGAGGGAAAGAGACAAACGGGAAAAGTCTGAAGAAAAAATTGACTGTCACCACCAGGACTCGAACCAGGGACCCTCGCTTGTAGCCAGCGATGCTCTAACCACTGAGCTATGGTGTAGTCGTCATCCCAGCAGAGGCCGTTCAACATTTTCTTCAGACTTCGTAACTCACACTTCCTGTGAATCCACACAGGCGGGTGGGACGCAGCCCTCACTTTATTGGTGAAATAAATTTTCAAAAAAGGAGGGGATATACGGATATTGTCAATTGGTCGTCATTTAGAGCGTGCAAAAGTTCTGTAGAAAATGATCTAATGTCCTCACTTCCTTTCGAGTGGGCAGGGAGGGCATTCCACATAAGGTCATAGTGTCATCATGATGATATGATGATGTCATCATGATGATACAATGATGTCATCATGATGACAACACCACAGGTGTGGTGCAATTGATAGCAAGTGAGCACTGAGCACTGCCACTGACCAGTGTTTGCTCAGACTTCCGATGAAAGTGACGGAATGGGAAAGTTTCCAAGGTGATTATTTTGATAATGTGACGTTACAGGCACTTTGCCGGGGGGGTTACTGCCATGGCTGCGGCGGAAACAGCATTCTGGCAGTAAAAAAGGTGCTGAAGCTTGGAGCAGAGGGAACCCCCTTCTAACCGCCACTGTGACAGCTGCACAAGTAACGATAATTTATCGGTAGTACGAATGTATTTCACGGTCTATCGCCATTCACGGTTTGCCGGGTTTCTCGGAAGTCTAAACGCGCTCTAAACTGCGAAAGCGTTCAGGCAAGTTTGAATTCCCAAACATGAATACATACGCTGGAGCCATTATGTGGAATAGATTGCCATCAGCAGCAAAATGTTCAAATAGGTATCTCAAGCCTTGCAGTATATATTATCAGCGACATAGGTTTTCCAATGCTCACTGGATTGATATCTGTTCGTTGCAACCAACCTTCCGTTTTCTTTTCTTTCTCTTTTTTTCCTATCTCTACTTTTCCACAATGTCCTTTAAAATTGTATTCACAGCGGGTCCAATGTTATTAGGCATTATGCCTGTTTTGATTTCCACTATAAATAAAGTATACAACAACAGACAAACACACACACACACACACACACACACACACACACACACACACACACACACACACACACACACACACACACACACACCCGCACGCATGCACGCACGCACGCACACACACACACACACACACACACACACACACACACACTCGGCATGCAGTGTTTCACTACTGCCCATTTTCGGAGGAGATGACAAAACAAGAGAAAATCACACAAAGCAGCACAGGTCTACTGACCTGTAAGGTCGGTGGAGATCGAATTGCGCCGTTTCCATGGCGACGAATTTATATGCGCGTAGATTGCTATGGCGAGCATGACACAACCGGCGACCACACCCATAGCGATCCAGGGAGCGCTGTCGCTGCTTGCGGGGCCGTTGTCACGGGCTGTGTCCGTGCCGAATTCAACGTAAGCGTTGTCTACCAATACAAAACTGCTTTCGTTACGATGTGGCTCACGGGCGTATACTGCGGTGCACTGGTACTGTCCACCGTCGATTTCGGCAGTGCTGGTCAGCGTGAGAGTGATTGTCTGGTTGTACAGCGTAGATGAGGCCGTTGGCGGTGACTGCCGCGTTGATGTCGGCTGCATGTCGTGACCTTGGTGCCTGCTGTGGTGCCGGTGGCTCCAGGTGAGGGAGATGAGAGCTGGGAAACTGCTGACTGAGCAAGCAAGGGTGATGTTCGAGCCGTAGCGGACTGTCAACTTAGCCGGCGAGAGGTGCAACACCGGAGGCACTGGGGGAGGTGAAAAACGAGCAAAAAATGCACACAAATGCACACGTGCACATACGTGCAAACACACATTCACGTGCACACACAAACACATGTGCACACACGCACACACACACACACACACACACACACACACACACACACACACACACACACACACACAGACACACACACACACACACACACACACACATACACACACACCGCATCAAGAGTACAGTATATCTACACAAAAGCTCTCCAGATTCGACAAATCTTCGAGCATGCCCAATGCTCGGGATGAAACAGTAAAACCAAAGGGATGAACACCAAAGCAAGCAAGTAGATATGCTGTGAGGTGCTGTAGAATAGTGACAGGACGAGGAATGTGAGAAATGTTTGGAGATATTATGGTGTGTATGTGTGGAGATCAGCAGCACTGGTGAAATGTGCTGGGAGGAAGGGTGGGAGGAAGGGTGGGGGAGAAGTGGTGAGCTGTGTCTGTGCTTGAATGGGTTAGTGCGATATATCACGTCTCAATCGCCTTCTTCACCACCACGGTCTTACACGGCAATGGACCCATTGCGCAATGACGTAATTTGCACCATAAACACCCCTCACAGCCACCTGGGCATGGTCGTCTGGGGTGTTTAACAGTGCATTCCTGATCCCAGCGTACTCGCAATCATTACTCATAAATTCCATATTTGGCAATGTGCAATGGGTCAATCGTCGTAAATTTCTCTCTAAATATTCGCCCCTGGGACTTCATCAGAAAGCATAGTGTGATATAGAAATAAATAATCTGAAGCTAGAGCGACACGTGTGAGATTCACTTCTGCTACATCGCACTACTGTATTCTCCGGAGTATCTTTTTACTAGCCAACACAGCCCTAATAATAATCAGGGGAAGAGGACAACTGAAGTGATACTGGACAACAAGACAATGGGGAGTAGGGGCAATGTGCTGATGACGTTGGCGAGGCTCATCCCACCGGATGTCTCGTATGCCGCACTTTGAACACTCGAAATTTACCCAAAAAGGTAGGGGGGGGTCCGAGTAACGGCAAGTGAGGACTTGGTTGCACGGTAGGCTACTAGCTGTTTGTGAATTGTAACGAACATTGTGGTTACGTTTCATGGGAATTCCCCCAACACCCGCATCATGACTTACCATTGACTACAATTGGCTGGATTGTGTTGAACAAGAGTGGAGCACTCAGCTGTCGTGCTGGCGTACGATAGCTAGCCATGCAGAGATATCTGTCACGTTCACTGATGCTCACATTGTGCAATGTCAGCGAAGCTGAACGCCGCATAAGGCCTCCAGCGAAAGTGGTGACGGGACCAGTCCCTGCTGATATGAGGCTCGCTGCATCGGCAGCATGCAAGGGGGCTAGGTGTCGTCCTGTATCCCGTTCAATCCAGTAGAGATCATCCACCGCTGGAATACTACTAACTATGCAGTGCACGGTGACATCATTACCTTCATCCACATAACTGACTGGTGTCTCAAATACTGGTAGAGCTGTGGAGGGAAGAGAGAGAGAGAGAGAGAGAGAGAGAGAGACAGAGAGAGCGAGAGAGAGAGAGAGAGAGAGAGTGAGAGAGAGAGAGAGAGAGAGAGAGAGAGAGAGAGAGAGTGAGAGAGAGAGAGAGAGAGCTATGTTAGACATAACAACTTGTGCTGGGATTACACCATTCAACAGCTTGCAAGGCTGATGAACTGACCGCCACTCAGGCACGTTCGCAGAATCGGCGGAAGGGGGGTTACATGTGGTCCCTGGTAGTAAACAGCTACGTCACGTCAACCAACTCTAGCACATCGCGTGTTTCAGCGCATACGCAGTGCATGAAGACGTCAAGTAGTGGTAGATTCTGCGACTTGACGGCTCGTTGACCGCACGGCGCGACGCCCAGCGCAGGGCAGCAAAAGACGAAAACGAAAAAATCGTTCAGTCGGCTGACAAAAAGGGGGTTCGTCCGAACCCTGTATCCCCCTCCCCTCCCCCCGGGTACGCGCCTGCCACTATTTTTAGCCTAGCCTACAACACATGGCTGGTTGGAGTGGCTTTTTCTGGCCAATGAATTCCTTTTTTCGTTTTTTCTCTCTTTTTGTAACATGGGAAATTGTGGGCACAAGAAATGCGATCGAGTTCACCAACTAAACCAGATTTTGAACGGTCAGATGCGCACAATCTAGCACAAAACTGACAGGGAGCACTGAGACATTCCACGGCATGAAAGTCAGCTTGAGCACTGCTCGATAACACTCCATGAAATCCCCAAACTCGGGGTGAAATTGCAAAGTTTTAGTGATCCCAATTATGAACTCGCAACACCACACCACACGGCATGGGTGCACACATACAAGCACACACATAATGCACATATACACCTGATACACAGAAAACTCAGGAACTAAGACGTACAAATCATAAAGCCTACCATGAACATCCAGGGAAAATGTGACATTCACTGATCCTGGAGTATTTTTCAGAGAGATCACGTACACGCCGCTGTCTTGTATCCTCAGGTCAGTAATAGTCAGCGAGAAATTAGTCTTGTCCTGTTGTAGACCAACAGTTGATCTATCGATTGGCGATCCATTATGTGTCCACGCGAAATGCGGCTGTGGATTGGCTATGTGCTTGAGGGTAACATAGAATGTGATGTTTTCGCCCAGTAGTTTTGTACTGTTCAACGTGTACACCGCATCTGGGATCGGAGGAACTGGAGAGAACAGAAACCGAAGAGAATTTGTAGAGAGAGGAAGAGAGAGAACGAGAGAGAGAGAGAGAGAGAGAGAGAGAGAGAGAGAGAGAAAAGAGAAAGAGTGACTAATTGAAAAGAGAGGAGAAGAGACAGGCAGGGAGAAATAAACTGGGTCCTGCAAATCCAGCTCCAGAAGTGAAGGGAATTGTTTGCAGCCCAGACCCAGCACAAAGTGGTCAAAACCGAAAATCCCATACGTTCCATCCATGTTTCCGTCGTGCCATTCCACAAAGTTCACAATTAGCTTTGGGTAACAGCACGGTTGGAAAATGTCCTTCCGCTTCTAAACATGACGTAACAGATCGGGACAACAATATGGACAGACGGACAGACACCCGGACAAGCAGAAAGACACATGGACAGACAAGCAAAATTGTGTACTTTGACATCAGTGATCAATGCGCCATTTCTGCCACCTGTTGTCATGGCAAAACACGCCGTACACAAGGAAGTTCCTTGTCTCTGCAGTGAGCAGCTCCTAGTTTCTGGCGTCACACAGTAACCGCATGCTGCCCCTTATGTTCAGGCCGCCCGTTTCGGGGCCATCAGTTGCCTGATGATCGTAGGAATACGTGAAACCCCGAGTTGCGACACAGCTGCCAATCTCTCTTGTGTAACTGCCTAGCATAAACTCTTGACTCGTGCAAGACGACATTTGTCTGTCAGCTACAGAGTTCATTAATAATAGTGAGGTTCTGCCACACGGTAAAACGTGCCAAAGTACGTATGGAAACCGTGCCGCGGTACGGGATCAAGTTTCATACGGATTTTTTCACACCGTTTTCCGTGTGAAGCGCGCTTCACATGGACTGGACTCTGTGTGAAAAACTGAGCGTACATGCAGAGTACATGTGGCGGGGTTTTCGTCCATGCTACAAGCATGCTATGCACAGCAGAACCGGTGCAACGTACGAAAAATCCGTGTCAAACTTCACTGCAGTTGACACGGAGTTTGGTACGTAGTTCCGTGTAGCAGAACCTCTCTATTACTGAACGGCGCCGCTTGCCTTTTGAAGTACGCTTGGCTCACAGATTGAAGACTCACCTCCCACAAGAGCATGCTGCATTTTCTTTTTCTTTTTTCACAGAACAAATTTCAGATCTTCCCATATGTCTCTGTATTGCATGTCTCCATTAAATCAGTATACTGTTTTTAAGTCTAGAAATTTTCGGCCAATGCATATTTCGTCCTCCCAGGGTATTACAACTCAGACTGAGACAAGGATGTTACCGGAATGTATAATTCTATTGACATACGCAAACAACGAGGAAGTCACTTCAAGGTCTCGGAAGACAGAACAACGACAAAAGGGCAAGGCAGCAGAGGTTGGCCTGCGTGCATGTAGAGTCCTGGTGACGTTTTAGTGACGTCAACACAAGACATGTACATGGATATCACATCCCTCCCACCCTAGATGAAACAAAGGCTAAGTAAACAATAACAAATAACAAATCACCTGGAGAAACAGTAACACAAGACATGGTGATATATAGCTGTAAACACAGAAATAAGATAGCAGATCTAACTGTGAGTAGCTACGATAGAAATGTTACAAGTCCAAACGGACGGGCGCCTGAACAGCTCTAGTTGAGCGATGCGGATGAATAGCAGGAGTCAACCCAGCTGACTGTGACTCTGGAAGCGTGACTGATTCTGGTGCTGGAGGAACTGGCGAGGCAGACACGACTGTTGGTACAGAATCAACTGAAGGCTGTAGTTCGGATGCGTCTGAATCCGGCACACATGGTGTCGACACTGGGTGGTTCAGAGGTTGACCAGATGGAACAACAGCTGGATATGCGGTTGTTGCCTGTTCTGGCGCAGCAACAGGTGGCTCCTCGGCCGGCAATCGTGGGCGGATGTGGTCACTGTGCCGTTTCCACAATCTGACATCGGTAAATGTGGCTGGGCCTACAGTCCGTTTCAAAAAGATTTGCAATCCTGGCGATCGCCCGCGGAGTTTGGCGTCTTACTGTATGAGCACTCGAGCGCTGCCTGGAAAAACTCACTGAAGAAATATTCCGCGCGAAAGCAGGAAAATGACAACTCACTCAACTCACTCACGTTGATACAGTCATGTACGTCTGGTTTACAACAAACGAGTTCTTCCTCGTATCAATAATGGAGTCAGAGAGGACATGTCGAAACGAAAGTGTTGTAAATGTTGACGAGCGGCATGGGTCCCAATTCGTTTTGTGACCAAAATAGTTTCTTTGAGCTGCGATGCAATTTACTCACCGTGTGAAGAAAACGACATCGACACAGACTCATTCCCAAGGCCATGACTTGGCAAAGCTATCCGTGTGATTTCGACGACATTTTGAGAAAAGCAGACGCTTGTGAACACTGATAAAAGACGGCGTTGACTGCAAAATTCAAATAATTGGCCATCTTGAAATACTAAAATAAATCTCAAAAGCTACAGCGCGATGACTTCCATCATAATTCACTCACACCATTGCACGGTGTTGTGGGTGTGTTCACATGGCGTGAGCCAGTCAAGTGTCAGTCAGTTCGGCAGGAAGCGCGAGCTCGAACAACAAGTCGTTTGGTGCAGCCATCTTCTTTGTCTTATACATGTACCAGCTTGATCACCAAAACAATGAAAAAAAAGTTTCACTTGAGGATAGGTTGGGGTTTGAACTCACAACTTCATGGTCAGCAGACAGCATTCATAACCACAAGGCCAAAAAGGAAAGGATAAATCGTGGGTTTTGATAAAAAAAATCGATACTGGCTTCCTGGGCAAATTGTAAACCATGGGAAAAGGCCGGAAACCTGGCCGAAATTCTAACTCCTTAACGGTTGGTCCAATTGTTCCGAAACCTTCACAGAACAATTTGCCGTGTCCTAACAAGCCATTCTATGTACATGTGCTTTGTTGTCCAAATTTCCCTTATCTTCATACTTTTTAAGACCCAAACCTGAATGTAAATCTTTTTGAAACAGACTATAGACACTCTTCAAGAACTCCATCCGTCCATTTAGGCGAGCCAGCAAAGTTGACACAGGACACAGGGTCGCCACAGCAAAAGGACAATGAGTGAGCCGGGCGGCGGTCTACGGCTGCTTGCTGTTGGCTGAAAACCTTCTTAGAAGTGTCCGGAAATGTGAGGTCAAGACGGGACCGAGACTTTAGACCCATCATGAGTTGAAATGGAGATTTACCAGTAGTTGATTGTGGCATAAGGCGATACTGAAACAGGAACCGACAGACGGGATTCCAAATCAGAACCACCAACAGACTTCTTCAGCGCATTCTTGACGGTTTGTACAGCACGCTCAGCTAGACCGTTGCTGGCTGGGTGGTACGGAGATGACCGGGTATGCGTGATACCATTAGCAGAACAGAATCGTTGAAATTCGTAGCTGGTAAATACTGAGCCATTGTCGGAAACAAGTTGAAGTGGCAGTCCGTGCGTTGCAAATGTCTGACGGAGCTTGGCAATACCGTAAAAGCCCGTGTATAGGCCCCGGGCGTATAGAATAGCAGCCTCGATTTCCTGGGCGTGTACAAGGGCACGGGCGTTATTTTGGAACCGGGCGTATACTTTGAATAGGGATAGCAGTAAGTATTGGGTATCAGTACCTGTACATGTACTGGTGTTGCCGGTATACCTGGGCGTGTACATGGGCATGGGCGCTATTTTGAAACAAAAGTGTTGACTTTTTTATTTTTTTACTAAAGGCCATGTGGTGCACGCAATGGGAACAGGCAGCAGCCACACTTGCCCTAACTGGGCGTGTACACGGAGGATGGGCGTAATTTCGAGTGGGCGTATACAGGGGCTTTTACGGTAGTTGAAGCCGAGGTTGCAGACGATACCGGGTGGACTTCAATAAACTTACTGAAACTGTCAACGATAACCGGGAGCATCTTGCCCTCAACTGGACCTGTGTATTCGACATGCAGACGCACCCATGGTTTACCTGGCCATTCCCAGGGATGTAGAGGCTGAAGGGCTGGTGACTTCTGGCTTGACACGGTTGGCAGCTCTTGACCTTGAGCTCTATCTCGTCGTCAATAGATGGCCACCATATGTAGCTGCGTGCGAGGGCTTTCATCCGGGTTATGCCCGGGTGAACTTCATGTAATTCTTCCAGGAGTGTCTCACGGCCTCTTGGTGGAATAATAACACGTGAGCCCAGCAAAAGACAGCCATTTATCACTGAAAGCTCATTACGACGACAGGAATATGCTTGATAATCCACGGGGATGCTGTCCGGCCAACCTTCTTGGACATACTTGAGGACGAGACAATAGTGACAGCACCGGATCTTTGCTCGTCCATTGAGCAATGGTGGTGGATGTGACCGGAGTGTTCTCCAGGACAGACATCGGCAGAACGAAACCGGCTGGTGTTGGGACTTCTGGTACCGATGAGGGTGATGGTAGCCGACTGAGTCCATCAGCATTACCATCGTTGCTGCCCGACTTGAACTGAAGCTGGTAGTCCTAGCTTGCTAGTAGTAGGGCCCAGCATTGGACGCGACCACTGGCCATCGGCAGAATCGGACGATCTTCCGGAAAGAGACCAAGTAGAGGCTTGTGGTCAGTCTGCAGCACAAACGAGCGGCCAAATAAGTACTTAGTCAACTTAAGAAAACGCTCGGCGGCGAACACCATAATCAGGCCTTCTTTCTCAATCTCTGCATATTTCTGTTCCGCTGAGGACAATGTTCTCGATGCAAACACGACTGGATGCTCGCTTTCGTCCGCAGCGATGTGCGAGAGAACGGCACCAATACCATACGGTGACGCATCACAACTGACGACAATTGGCAGCTTCGGGTCGTAATGTAAACGGCATGGTGCTTCTAGTAGCATGGCTTCGCTGTTCTCAAAGCAGACTGCCACAGGATTGCCACACAGAGACACTTTGGGATTTTCTGAATATAAAATACTGTACGCGCGATGTTGAGATCAATTTGTGCGATATCAAATTGTTTGTGATCT